GAATAAACAGTGTTAAATTTTCGGTTTGACAAAAATAAAACGCGGACCGTGTTTAATAGTATAAATTAAGTGTTTAATATTTCTTGTTATGCTCAGCATATTGCTCTAAGACAGATTTCTCAACATGGGCAATAACAAAACTGAACTAAAATTAAAAAGGCATGATACTCCAGGTTTCTTAGCAACTGCCTCTGTGTGCAGGACAAAGCAACGAGTTTTCCTATTGTTGGATTTAAAAATGGGAGAAGAAAAAAAAACATGAATATTTTGTGGCATTTTGGTTCCTAAAGCACACTTGCATTGAGTGTGTTGAGGATGACTTTCAGACCAAAACATTTGCTGAATATCTGAATGCTTTTATCTAAGGAGCTCATAGAATAGGAAAAAATTGTTGTGGCCAAACATTATTTAGCTTGTGGCCACAACATTTTTTTTATCCTATGGGTATACGATGAACTGGCATCATAGTTATCCGTAAATGTAATTGAGATGTTTTATTTTTAGGATCAGACGGCTATAACAGCACAAACACAGGCAAAAAAAATAAAAAAACAAACAAAAAAACATCATCGCTCCACCTTTGCCTTCAGTCATCCTGATGAAATTTAATATTTTGCTTTATGGGTTTACTGGAAACAGACCATACAGTCACCCAGCAGGTACCGACTGTGAGAGCATTTTCACATGGACACACATAGGTGTGGTCTTTAGCCATAAGGCCGTCCCTGTGTAACGCACAGCTCCACACTACAAACACACAGGGAGCAGCAGGGCTTCACAAATAGTGTTACTCAAATATTCTGGATCTGGTCCAAGGTATAGGGCAAGGATCTTTAAAAAAAAAAAAAAACAACTACAGCATCAGATGATATCACACGCAGGTTCTCATATCACAGCTGGCATTTGTTTGGAAAGACTATTCTGGCACAAGCAGGGTAGTGTTGCACATTTACACGGTAGAAAGAGAGAAAGAAAAAGAAACACAAAGGAGGACTCATTTTCCTGGAAACCTACCAAAAGGGGGCAGCCACAGCAAACTCTGAGGAGCCTTTTTGAAGGAAGTCTGTTCCTTCTGTATCATTTTAGCAGATTCCTCAGAGAGGAAGAATTCCAAACATGCATACCTTCTGGCAGAGGAGAGCGGACCAAGGGGGGAGTCACTGTCTTAAATCCATATAAGTCAACCGGGTTTCACTGCGTGACCAAACAACTCGTGGTATCAAGGATACCAGCTCCTATTTATAGATGCTCCCATTGCAGACCTATTTCCACGCTGCTGTTTACTACACGCCACTACCCAGGGCATTATAGGTTCTCACTGCTGCTTCACATAAGACGTCATCATCATTGTACTCCAAGTGGAAGAATAAATAAGAGGCATTAAAAGGTGGAGACCTCGTCTGTATTTAAGGTCAAACAGAATCAGATTAATCTTTTGTTTTAAAACCAAGCTGTGAAGACAGAAACCTTTTGCTACAATCTGTTAGTGGGGCCAGAGAGGTTTTTTTTTTTTTAATGTTCTCCTCGTACAGTAGTTACACAACTCCCCTCCCTCCAGCTCTTTTTCCTGAGCAAACACAGCCAGGTCAGACACCAAAAACCCAGGCAGCAGCAGCAGCCTGTGCCCGCTGTTCACCGGAGACGGGGAACATGAGGAGCCAGCCGGGTACATTTCAGCCAAACACCACAAACACTCAACAAATACGAGCATCTCTACAACCGCCGTCACTTTTCACAGCACTGGGAGGGTGCGTGCCACTTTACGGGTACAGGGAC